TGAAAACTGAAATTATTAAGGTTATAGAGATTTTGTATTTAATTCCCTTTGAGTACACTGTTTATGATTTGAATTTATAATTTTTTATTCATCAATATGAATAACTCTTACGATCTTACTAATATAAGAATAAATCTTACTTTTGAGTTAACCCATCTTAAGCACTTTTTTCGTGTAATAAAATACTTAAATATTGTCATATAAAAATATTATAATAGATCATAATCAAACGCTACTTGAAGTATAATTAAAGACACCATTTTAGACATAACCAAAAATATAAGAAATTAACAATGATTTTTTCAATTAATAACCAAAATAATACACCATGAGTTATAACTAAGTCATAATTTGTATATTACATAATTTTCTATTGTTTTTATTTTTTTCCTAAAAAAAAAAAATATTTTGATGCAAGTGGAATTCATGATTTTTTGTAAATTTGATTAACATAAATGCGGATTTGATTTTAAGCTGGGAATACATTTATTTGTTTTTATTTTTTTTACAACTTTGAAAGAACTTATTTTTATGAGACTATTTTACATAAGATCACACATAGTGTCAACAATTTCATCTATCATTAGCAAATCTATTTATATTTGACTTTCAATTATTAAAATTTTATGCACATAAAGTGTGTGGGTGAAAATCTGACCACACTGCCTGCTTAGTGATCAACTGGAGAGCACAAGCAGAATAGATGGCTTCAGCAACCTGAAATAGAAAGAAAAGGCTCCGACGATGGTTCTTCCACCCGGGGGCACTCCGACGATCAAGTCAGTATATCTCTCAAAGATAATCAAGTGCAAAACTTAATACTCAAAACATAAATTGCATACCTTAGACCCACGGGGGTGCCTCTCTTTTATAATATACTCAATCCAAGTCCTACTAGAAGTATGACTTCTATGAACTCCAATTTAGTGGCCAGACTCGTTTTGGAGTCAAAGGCAAGTTAGCGCCAAGATACGTCGGACCGTATGAGATTATTGAGAAAATTAATCCGGTGGCGTATCAAGTTGCGCTCCCTCCTGAAATGGAACACATGCATAATGTTTTCCACATTTCTATGTTAAGAGATTATCTTCGGGATCCGTTCCATGTAATTGAGCCTACTCGTGTAGTGTTGAGTGACGACTACACTTACGAGGATCGGCCTATACAGATTGTAAACAGACGGATCAAGAAACTGAGGAACAAAGAGATCCCGCTGGTGAAAGTTGACTGGCAAAACCACGGTGGCGTGTATGCCACTTGGGAAAGGGAAGATGACATGGCCAAAAGATATCCTGAACTGTTTCCACTGAATCCTGTTTTCTTCCAGAATGAAGGTAACTCGAGTTTAGAGGACTAAACTCTTTATAAGGAGGGGAGACTGTAACAACCCTCATACTGTTTACTAATTAATGACTGATAACTGACTGATAATTGAACTAATTAAAGTACTGAACTGACTGACTGAAATTGGAAACCGAATTGATTGAGTATACGTTAGTTAAATTGCATTTTATCTGTTGACAGTATGATTATCTATCCATGTTCATATGCTTAAGCTGCTAATTGAAGGCCTTATCGGCGGCCGAATCCGAAACCGATTAGTGTTCTATGACCCTCATAATTTATATGATTTTATAGTATAATTATCTGAAAATTGATTAGGTATGATTAAATTAAATTAAATAAGCTAATTGAAGAGTTGGACTTAATTACCGTTCCGCCACTTAGTGGCCACCACATCACACCTCTTGAGCCTTTTACACTCCACGTATGTGATCAAACCAAACATTCTTCTCCTCTTCTTGCCTCAACCGACCTTAGAGACAGAGAGACTTGAGGAGTTGGTTTTCATCTTGAATTGCTTGGAATTGTTTGAGAATTGAAGTGTGATTGCTACTTTGAGCTCCTAGACCTTGATTACAAGACTAAGGTAGGACATTCATCTTCTTGTTGTTGTTCTTGAGTTCATTCTTGCACAATTCATGCTTTAATTGTAGAGTTAAGCCATGTTTTGGTACTTGCATGTTGATATAGAGCTCATTTCTTGCATGCATGTTTGTATTGAAGACGTTTGGAGTTGAATTCATGGTAAATTGGTGCATGCATGTTCATACTTATATTTGTTAGACTTTAATTCTATTAAATCTTATTAATAATAAAATTATCATTATAAATATTTTTTTTTTGTGATAATGTTTTACATATATCGTTAAAATTTGACAATTATTGACTTTTTTCATGATTTTTATAAATTATCACTAAAAGTTACAATTAGTAATACTTTTCTGTGACGAAATTTTCAAATTGTCGCTAAATGTTGTGAATTAGTGATTTTTTTAAACGAACGCTAAAACTTATAATTAATAATTTTTTTGTGACAACATTTTTATATTATCGCTAAAAATTAATAATTAGTGCCGTTTTTTTAATAATTTATAATAAAAAAATATCATTAATTATTATAAGATTTATTGAATAATAAATTCATTTAATATGACCTACATATAAGGCTCCATTAAGCTAATCCATTGACGTAGGATTGTAATTTGATTAGGAGCAAAGTAAGTCGGGTTGTCCAATTCCTAGCTAAACAAAATTATTTCTGTAGAAAAATAATTATATGCTATATGACAAAATTACGTTTACATCACCGTTATGATTATATTTGAACAATGAATTTGGGTAATTAAAGAATTAGTGGTTGTCAAGCAAATCAAAAGTAAAAGCATGAAAGAAAATATTAAAAACAGTTGAATTTTTTTTTTTTTTAAACTGCATTTATAACAATTTAAGTTTGATTTTGCACCATCAATATTTATGTAATTGAATAGAGTAATGTTAGGAATTATAAAAAAATATATTATGAAATTTTTCATGAAAATTCTTCACCTTTAAATTATACACATAATAAAATATCACGCATTAATCAAATAATAAAAAAGAAGTACTGCTATTAGCACCTCATTAATTATTTTGGACCTCCCATTTTTTAACTTTTTTTATTACAATAATAATTTTAAATGAAATTACTAAAATGACATCAATAATTTTGGGACACTCCATCTCACAATTAAGTCCACACACCCACTACATTATGAGTTAGGATTTATGAGGGCATCTACCACTACAACAAAATGCACATTCGGCAACCAAAATTGGCGACTAAAAAAAATTTAGTCGCCAAAAGTTATGAAATTAGTGACCAACTAATATTTTTAGTCGCCAAAAGTAAAATATTTAGCTACTAAATTTTTTTAGTAGGGGTATATTGGTTTTTGGCGACTAAAAAAAATTTTAGTCGCTAAAAATGCTAGAATTGGCGACAAAAAAAAATTTTAGTCGTTGTATATTAAGTTTTGACTACTAAATCATTTTGTCACCGAAAGAAAAATAAAAATTAATTTTTTACCTATGGCGACCAAAATTTTGGTCGCCAAAAGTTTATTTTCAGCGACAAAAAAGAATCTTAGTCGCTGTATGTTGAGTTTTGGCTACTAAACCATTTAGTCGCCAAATGAAAAATAAAAAAATATTTTACCTTTGGTGACCAAAATTTTAGTCGCCAAAAGCTTATTTTCAGAGACAAAAAAAAAATTTAGTCGCCAAAAAAGAATTTTATTGTTATTTGGCGACCAAAAATATATTTAGTCGCTAAAGGTTGAAATATTTGTTTTAGAGGGAAACAAATTTTTTTTGGCGCCCGATCTATTTACACTCTGTTCTGTCTCTCACACACACAAACACACGATATACACTTCTATGTCAAACACTAGCAAACCTCACCCTCACCATCCCGACTCACCATCCTTGCTAACAATTACCATCGAACTTCCACCACCGACCATCGCGGCTCTCGCTACCGCTGACCATCGTGGCTCTCGCCATCATCGCTCACCATCGCGGCCCCCCTCCCAGCCACATTCAGGTTTCTCTCTCTCTCTCTCTTCCTCTATTTCCCCATTTCACCATCTCGGATCTAGGGTTTTATTTTATTTTTGATGCTGTAGGATTTTGATAAAACCATTTTAAGGTTTTGCTCTTTTTCTACATTTGAAGCACATATGAGGTCCAAGTTGTGTTTAATTCCAAACTTTTTTTTGCTCTATTTAAGCAATCGTGAAGAACTGCTTAAATTGCTGAGTAGAGTTATATGTGTATATATATATATATAGTATGATTAGGTAGATAGCAATTGACTTAAGGTACTGAACAATTTAAGAATATTATTAGTAGGCAAGTTAATAGAAAATTTTAGGAGTATATTGATATATTTTATATATGCTTACACTTCTTCCTCTAAGAAGTATAGATTGATATAGATTATATATGCTCATGCTCTGTTTTTTTCCCCTTCTATTGCTTCAGAGTTATACAGTAGATGAGAGGAAATTTTAGTTGTTGTTGCTCAAGCTCTGTTTTTTTCCTTTCTTGAATGACACTGGGTAGATATACAAGTGTGCCAATAGACAAGCACAACTTTTTTTTTTAATATGATTTATTTGTTATGCCATATAATGAACCAAATATGCTCTGAGTACCTATAAATCTTTCCTATGTATTTCAACAAAAGTCAGCTTAATTAAAATCTTCCAACCATTCATGTTTAATTAAATATATCAGTGGTTCACTCTAGGCAAAGCTCTCCCTTTCCAAGGCTATAACTTCCAATGTTGTTATATATATATATATATATATCATAAGCCATAAACAAGAACCTTTTCTTTAAACAGAACTCTTCAAATCTCCTCTAAAATCGCAACCACGTTTGAATAGAATAATTGATGATAGTGAATAATGGATCTCCGCAACGTCTCCCTCCCTTGTCCAATGACAAAAACCCAAATTTCAGCAGAAGGTAACACCTGTCCAATTGCCTTCCACATGGTTAGTACACATGTTAAGCAATGGATTGCTTTCAAAAACTATAAATTTCAGTAACTCTGGTATATATACAACTCAGAGTTTTTGAGCTATAGTTGCATATATTATATGTTACACCAAGAACCAAGAAGTTTGAAAAAAATAGACAGTTCACAGAACATGAGTTATCAAGCTAGCCAGGCCAAGGGCCAAGCCCAGGTGAGCTTAATTGGCTTTCTCTATCTTCTTTATTTTCCAATTATGTACTTCTCAACATCCATGGCACATATTAATTGATGCACATAATTAACTAGTTAGTTTAATTAGTCAAAACTCTTTCACCTCGTTAGGAGATTAAGAGCACAAAAAAAGAAAAAAAGAAGATTGATGTGTAGATGTTTGTTATATTTGTTTCAGCAAAAGGGCAACCAGATGATGGAAAAGGCCAGCAATGCTGCCCAATCTGCCAAGGAAAGCCTGCAAGAGGTTGATGATCTTTTATTTTATTCTTTTAAATGGATTTACATGTTGATCTGTTTGTTTACAATTATTCTCAATTTCTAGATGACTAATGGTTTAGCTGTTTGAACCAGGATATCAACACTTGACAGTGTTAATTATGATCAAGATAATAACATTAAAATTTCTGAAGCATTTTCTCAATGCAAAGTTTCTCTTTACTGAAATGTGCAGCTGAAGTTTAAAAAGAAAAAAAAAAAAATCTATCTTCTTTTAAAAAAGCAAAGTTTGTGAAGAAAGGTGGAATGTCTAATGATTCATTGTGATAGATAGTTCTTGTTCATCCATTGGAGATATGATTTCTAATGCATAATAGTCATAAGGTATGATTTCTAATGCATAATACTCTGTTGGGTCATTCGCTTTTTGCTCTAATTCTAGCTTTCCATTAATGGCTTTTATCAATATTTTTGGTTTCTATTTCTCTTCTTCTACTTTGAGTTCACTCTGTTTCTTTGGCCCCCCATGAATTGTTGGTTTGGGAAGTTGTTATGGCTTTTCTATTTGGATTCTTATAATAAAGGATTTGTTTGTTTGTTTGCTTGTACTTTGTCATGTATTGTTACTTTCAAACTGCATTTAGTAGTTTAAATTCTGTGAGATGGAAAATCTATGCCAGAAAAGTGAAATAGAGTTGTAGTTGCAAGAGTGATGAAGCATTAATTATGTTGTCATTGTATTTCTTTGTATGAAGATATGATATTAATTATGTTGCTTTCTTGTTTCTTTCTATGATAGTGGATTGGAATTGGGCCCTCACAAAATGATGGTGGGAACTGCTATTAGTGGTAAGGCTTTAAGGTGTGGATTGTGGGATAGATATGTTATCCATATTCTTAATGAGGAAAACATATTGATGTTGTTTGTATGGTTGTGGGTGTGCATTTATGGCTTTGATTTTGACTCAAATGGTTGCTATATTTGATTGGTTTACATACTCCCCATAGTGAAAATTTTTCCATTGAAAAGCCTTTTGCTAGTTAAAAAAATTTGAGTTAAGAAAATGATTTCCGCTTGAATTCCAATAGGACAACAATGCATTAAACTTAACCGAAAAAGGGCGTTAAGGGGGTGAAAATGAGAATCAGCCCCCGAACAACCGTACGGATGTCACGGCCATCTTTCATGTCACAAATAGGACCTGTGACAACAGAGGGAATGTAATTAGCACACGTAGTTTGGGAGTTAGAGTCGAAAATGCATTAAACTTAGGCCTCGTTTGGGATGCTACCTTTTTAGCCAATTAGTCAAAAAGTTACTAAATTAGCCAATTAGCCAATTAGCCAATTAGTCATACCAAAAAAGTCAACAATTACGGCTTCTCTCTACTTTTTGCACAGCTTTTCGTAATTAGTCAAAAAGTCATCCCAAACATACAAGTTTTTTTTACCTACCTTTTTAGCCAATTAGCCAAAAAGTTACTAAATTAGCCTGTTCCCAAGATCTTGGGAGAGGTATGGTTCATTCTTTGCATCTTATGTCATATTACAATGCCTAAACTTGAAAGCAAAAGCAATACTTCCCAAGTATGTATATTTACTTGAGAGATTAAATGTGTGGGGAAATGTGATACCAAGCACCTGTTATTCTTGGGTCAAAGAGCTAAAGATATTTGAAGTGGATTTTATTATTATTATTATTATTATTATTATTATTATTATTATTATTATTATTATTATTATTATTATTATTATTATTATTATTATTATTATTATTATTATTATTATTATTATTATTATTATTATTATTATTATTATTATTATTATTATTATTATTATTATTATTATTATTATTATTATTATTATTATTATTATTATTATTATTATTATTATTATTATTATTATTATTATTATTATTATTATTATTATTATTATTATTATTATTATTATTATTATTATTATTATTATTATTATTATTATTATTATTATTATTATTATTTATTATTATTATTTTATTATTATTATTTTCATGGTCTTATCATGGAAGGGGATTTCAATGGGACATCAAAATGTATCAAATTGGTTTTGATTTCAATGGGACATCATGTTGCTAGTCTTGTGTGCTCTAGAAAGTGGGTTTAGAAAATGATCTTCTATATCATTTCCTTATTTTATTTTGTTTTATTTTACAGGGATTAAAATCAATTTTGATATAAAAACAAGGCCTATAAAAAAAAAACAAGTCAATTTTCTGTTCATGTCATGTTCAGAGCGCAATGTATCAGTTTCTAGCTTCGTCCGAGGTGAGTTTTGGTTCCTCGCCTTTTGTCATGTACCATCTAATGAGCATTCTCTTGAAATTTGTATGCTATTCCAAAATACCTATCTATTTAACTTTCCATGGTGGAGTTCTCGACTTGAAACTAAATTTGTTGCAGTTGGACCTCCAATTACATGACCGAAGAAGAATATCTGGGCAAATATGTCCATTAGAGTATCAAGCATTCCATTCTCGAAATAATTATGCTGCCAAGTTGGTGTCAAAGTTCCTTGCAAATTTCCTTGTTCTTGTTTATTCTGAAATGTGTTTTAGGATGTCACATGGAAGTGAAATGGTTCGCTATTTCAGTTTGCATTGAATTTTTGAGTCGATTTAAACATTTCAACACATTCTTCATTGGAATCAGAAAAATTGATGAAGAAAATGAAAATCAGGTTCTTCATTTAAAAAAACAAACAAACAAACAAACCGAGCAATGTATTTCCTTGCTGAATAACATGAACAAAAGAATGTTCTGATTTTATTTCCTTCTTTGTTTCCCTACTGTTGCTATACCATACACAAGTTGGCTAGTCCATATTTGATATGTGCTCTATTTATGAATTAATTTTTGTATATGTGGTATTGTTTATCAAATTTTGTTCCAAGGCCACTAAAGAATAGATGGAGCAATGAAGAATTAATGCTTGCTACTGAGACTGGAGGAGTAACTCGTCTTCGACACGATTTAAAACTCTGTAGTGCATACCTTGGAGTTCATGTAAGATTTCTGAGTTATAGTTATATTTCCTTGCACGCCTTTGGGTCTTTTTTTCTCCATAGTTTGACACGAATTTACTTAATTAGCTTGTCATATGAATTGAATTTGCATGTATTTTAACTAGGATATGAAAATGTATTGACGGGTAATTGTCTGTCTCACACAATGTCAAATACACCCTAAACGTAGTAAAAAAAGGGCATTTTGAGGGCAAAAAATCAAAACAGCCCCCAAACCACCGTATGGCTCAGACGAACAGTTCCCCCATGAAAAATAGGACTTGTGAGAATTGACGGAACATAATTCGGACGCATAGGTTAGGAGTTAGAGCCGAATACGCCCTAAACTTAGTTGAAAAATGGCGTTTCAGGGGCGAAAATTGAAAACAGCCCCCGAACCGCCGTGTGGCCGACACGAACACCTTCCCCATGCCAAATAGGACTTGTGACAAATGACGGAATGTTATTCAGACCCGTAGGTTGGGATTTAGAGATGAATACGCCCAAAGCTTAGTCGAAAAACGGCGTTTCAGGGGCAAAAATTGAAAACAGCCCCCGAACCGCCGTGTGGCCGACACGAACACCTTCCCCATGCCAAATAGGACTTGTGACAAATGACGGAATGTTATTCAGACCCGTAGGTTGGGATTTAGAGATGAATACGCCCAAAGCTTAGTCGAAAAACGGCGTTTCAGGGGCAAAAATTGAAAACAGCCCCCGAACCGCCGTGTGGCCGACACGAACACCTTCCCCATGCCAAATAGGACTTGTGACAAATGACGGAATGTTATCCCCTTCTCCATTTTAGCATTCTTATATGTTCAATTAATAGTGAAATATTTCCTTCGTTTACATTTTTTTTTTTCTAATAACAAAATAAGAAACAAAGACAACTTTTGTTAGGGATTCCTGATAAATGTTGAAACAACTTATGGTCCTTGTGTGTTTCATAGTGTTTTTGTTAGTTTTGATGCATTTTTAATATGTTTTGATGCCAATGTTTTGCTTTAGTTTGTAGGCACATGGGTAAGGGTACTTGTTTTTCCATGATGGTAGAGTGGTTGTTAAGTGATTTTGTTATGTATACTTGGATTGGGGCAGGGACTCCAAACCCCACCCCAAACCGAGTTTGGGTTGTAATCCTATTCCTGTTACCTGGCTCTAATGTAATTAATACCTTTGGAAGCTTGTCGCAGAAGGGGAAGGTTCTTAACTGAAGGGTTAAATTGCCATCCCTATGGAAAAAAAACTCTTCACTTGTTTTCATAATTTGATGATAGCCTATAGACCAACATTGCTTAAGAACGCATGTTTTATTCCAACTTAGTGTGATGGATGTAGGGGCAAGTTATAGATGGATTTGCTCCAACCATACCCCAACTTCGTTTGGCATGATTTTTCCTCTATCAGATTTTACTTTACTTTTATTTTCTTAAACTATAAAACTATCATATGCTATAACTTTAATTCATTTAATCTTTATTTGTTTTAGCCTTTTACTTCAAAGAGCAGGATTTAATATTCCATATTTGGGATATCATCTTTTGCATTTGGCTCTGAAGCATTATTACGGTAATTGTTTATTAATTCAGTGTCATGCCTCTATATGATTTTTCATTAACTCATTTTAACATTTTTGTTTCTGTTTAAGGGGATCGCATGATGGATTACATAAACCTAGATGACAGATCAATTGGTATGTTCTGGGTTGTGTCTTACACCATGGCACAACCTGCTTGTGAAACAGTGATGAATTGGTTGACCTCTACTGGAGTTCAAGAGTTGTTACCTGGATCAAACTTATAGTCAACTAAGAGGCTAATGGTGATGCGGGAAGTTAGCCCATTGCCAATTTCATTGTTATCAGGCTTTTCAATCAACTTGTGTCTAAAGCTAGCTTATCAGATGGAAGAATCTATGTTTTTGGGACAGGTGCTAGATATCTTCTAGTTTATTAGCTTGCTTGTGGTTGACTTAGTATCTGGTGATAGGAACTTATATTATATTTATTTCTATATAAATCTGTAGATTGTATTTGTGGATAAACAAAGTGTTTATGTTTTGCAAATTCACATGCATCCCAAACAAAACTGTTCCTATGGCAATGTTTAACTGAGTTAGGAAATAGCTTCTCTAAAACACCAAAGGAAGGGCAGCCCAAACACCGATGCCACTCGTGTAATTGACGTAATGTTGAACTAGTTTCTGAACAAAATAGAGTCACTGAACGTAAGAATCATTATCTTCTTGAGTTAGCTCGATTTCTCTTGTTTACCCTGAATATCCCTAAATCCTTTTGGAGTGAGACATTTCTTACTTTTTCCTATCTTATTAATCATATGCATCCAGTACTGGTTAGGTAAATGTCATGATTATAATTGACAAACAAAAAGCTCTTTATAATATCTTCCTAGCATAAGTATTTTTGTTAAATGTTTTATCAAGCTC